GGAACTACTTAAGTATTCTCGAAGGTGCAGCAGTACCGCACCAGCTAGTATCGAAGCAACACGTGTTAGAATGAACAGGCAGGAATGAGTGAACTAGCAGCATGCAGGAGTACAAGTAGTAAACCCTAATTTGGGTTGTACCCCATATGGGCTACCCCACTACAGCCTAGACAGTATGCAGCACATATGTTTGACACACCCCCATAGGCAAAGTGGGGGAGAACAAGGGGTCACAAGACCAGTCAGGGCAAAGCAAGGCAAAACAGGCTCAGGGTGGATCTCGAGGATTCCACACAAATTCCGAGCACAAGCAAGCGGTCACAAGACCAGTTCACATGCAGGTTTATAACAGAGCAAGAGATACAGTGATCACAACCTAGCAAGAGTAAACATGTAGGTATATATACATATATAGATCACAGTACAAGCAAAGTCAAGAAGTGAGCAAGTGAGGTCCAGTAGGCACAAGGCCCAAAAGAGTACAAAAGCGCTGATGGTCACAAGGCTGGAGCGCCTTGGTGAACACATCAGCAGTGTTGGCCTCAGTGGCCACGTAACGCAGACAAAGCTGACCACGCTGCTGTAGCTCTCTAGCCAGGAAGTACCGCAGGGCGATGTGCTTCGTTCGGTGCTCCAGTCTGTGCTCCTCACACAAGGCAATGGCAGCCTTGTTGTCGACGTACAGCACTGGAGGAGAACGAGGCCTCTCTCCCAAGTCGGTCAGCAGGTAGGTCAGCCAGCGAAGCTCCTGGGCCGCCATGGCTGTGGCGTAGATCTCAGCCTCACAACTGGAGCTGAGAACAGACGAAGAGCGTGTGGAACGCCAAGAAACTGAGCCGGAGCCAAGGCTGAAGGTGTAACCCTGAGACGACCGCTGAGTAGCCTGGTCGTCCGCCCAAGAAGCGTCTGAGTGTCCAGTGAGCACAACTCGGTCTCGCCCTCCAAGCACTAGCCCCATGCCCGACGTACTGCACAAGTAGCGCAACACCCTCTTAGCGGCATCCATGTGCTCCTTCCTGTGACGGCCAGGAGCGACATAGCGTGCAAGGATGCTAAGAGGGTATGCAAGGTCAGGTCGAGTGCAGGTCATCAGGTACATGAGGCAGCCCACAAGCTCTGGATACGGGCCACTCGGCTCTACGGACTCATCCGAAGGCAGAGCTGAGAGCGAGTGACCGGTAGGCAGAGGAGTGGACTGAGGCGAGGAGTACGTGAAGCGGAAGCGCTGGAGAACCTGCTGCACCATGTGTGACTGAGTCAGGGTGATGGTACGCCGTGCTCTGTCCCGGGTGATCCGCAAGCCAAGATAGCTTGTCAGCTCACCCAGGTCTGTGCACGTGTGTCTCCTCTGCAGCTCCGACTTCACGTAGGCGAGTCCTGCAGTGTCAGCAGTGGCAAAGACCAAGTCGTCGACGTACACGAGGATGTAGAACGGCGGCAGCGAAGTGTCGGTGCGCAGAAACAGCGACGGGTCAGCAGTAGAAGGCGCGAACCCAAGAGCCGCAAGTGTAGTCCTCAGTGTGTCGTGCCACTCACGTGGAGCCTGGCGGAGACCGTAGACCGGCCGCTGAAGCCTCCACTGGGTACCAAGAGGAAACGACCCAGTGAAGCCAGGGGGGCGGCGCAGCCAGATCTCCTCGTGCAGGCTGCCCTGCAAGAAAGCAGTGCTGAAGTCAAGTGAGTGAAGCTCGTAGTCGCGGTGAGCGGCTATGTGCAGCAGCACCCGAAGAGTAGTCATCTTCGGGGTGGGGGAGAAGGTCTGAAAGAAGTCTACTCCCTCTCGCTGACTGAAGCCTCGAGCCACGTAACGCGCCTTGAAGACAGGCGGAGAACCCGGCGGCCGCTTCACCCTGAAAATCCACATGCCACTGACGATGTTCGCCCCAGGTGGGGGAACCTCGTCGACGTAGGTGCGTGTGGACTTCCAGGAAGCCATCTCTGCGTCCATGGCTGTCTGCCACTGAGAGGAGTAGGGACCCCCCATCGCCTCAGCGTAAGTGCGCGGGGTCGGGATGTCTGGTGCATCCGGGTCTCCCTCAGGGGCAACTAGTAAGGACACGAGATGGGGCAAAGCAGCAGCAAAGCACTGGAACTCCTCCTGTCTGTCCTCAAGGACGTCCGTGCCAAGAGCACACTCACCCCCGACGGACGGAGGACAGGCAGACTCAGACTCAGACTCAGCAACAAGGCTAGCAGCGTAGTCTAGGCGACAGCGAGCAGCAAAGTCAACCAACTCAGCGACCAGAGCAGACGCAGCGGCGGACTCAAAAGTAGGGTCAGTGACAACTGTGGCGAGAAGACGCGTGACAGTGGGACTGGCAGCACGACGGGAGTCAGACTCCGGGTCAGGAAGAGTAGGTAGAGAGGACGCAGGAGGAGACGGCAGAGGGACACGCTGAGGAGCAGTGGAGGGACGCAGAGTCATGTAGTGAGTGCCAGGGACAGGAGGAGGACGCTCACGTGGGACACGACGACCAGTGCGAGCAGTACGAACAGGCGACGCAGGACGAGACGCAGGCTCACGACGCTCTGAAAGGCCTCCGGTGGGACCAGTGTAAGGAGAGGGACGAGGAAGAGGCGAGGCAGGCGGTAACTGTGACTGCGACTGGACAGGCGGAGGACACTCTACGGAGGGAGGAGGACAAGGAGGAGGAGCCTGACCAAGAACCTGCTGAAGGAGCGGAACGAAGTACGGTCGCGGCCGCGCAGCGTCTCGAGAACCAGCAGAGACACCAGCGGCAGGGTCCTCAGTACCAGCAGCAGCTCCAACTCCCGGGTCCTCAGCTCCAGCAGTAGCTCCAACGCCCAAGTCCTCAGCACCAGCAGCAGCGCCACCGCTCGGCTCCGCAGCACCAGCAGCAGCTCCACCGTCCGGGTCCTCAGCTCCAGCAGTAGCTCCAACGCCCGGGTCCTCAGCACCAGCAGCAGCGCCACCGCTCGGGTCCTCAGCACCAGCAGCAGCGCCACCGCTCGGGTCCTCAGCACCAGCAGCAGCTCCACCACTCGGGTCCTCAGCACCAGCAGCAGCGCCACCGCTCGGGTCCTCAGCACCAGCAGCAGCTCCAAAGCCCGGGTCCTCAGCACCAGCAGCAGTGCCACCCCCAGGGTCCGCAGCACCCGGAGCACCACTCCGAAGACTGCAGCGTCGCGTGTACCACTCTCGGATCTGCTGAATGGGGGGGAGCTCCTGGGTAGGAGGGGAAGTACCGGGACGAGCTCCAGCAGCACCTCTCCGGAGGCGGCAGTACTCGAGGTACCTCTCCTGCAGCTGCTGGGAGGAGAGGGCTCCTCTAGGTGTAGCACGCTCAGTCTCAGTACCCCCAGACTCCGCACCCCCAGGCTCAGCACCTCCAGGCTCCACACCTCCAGGGTCCGCACCTCCAGGCTCAACACCCCCAGGCTCAGCACCCCCAGACTCAGCACCCCCAGGCTCAGCACCCCTAGACGCAGGACGAGAGTCAACAGCTACCTCGACAGGCTCACCCGGGTCTACCTGGGACACACCTGAGGGAGCGGCACCCTGAGGGGGGAGGGGGTCTGGTACCTCAGCACCTGGAGCGAGGAAGAGAGGCGGGGGGGGGGGCGGGGCAGTGCGGTAGGGGAAGAGGCGGTAGTAGGGGACGGACTCGTCAAAAGTGACGTCCTGAGAGGCCAGGACACGCCGCGAGGTGGGGTGGTAGAACTGCCAACCAGGGGCGTCCGGGACAAAGCCAAGGAAGACGCAGGGGACAGCGCGACGGGAGAGCTTGTCCGCGGACGTGTCGCGGACAAAAGCTCGGGATCCCCAGACCCGAAAACGCGACGCATCGCCAGCCTCTCCCGTCCAACGCAGTGTCGGAGAAGTCTCGGGCAAGGAGACACGGGGCCAGAGGTTGAGCTGATGCGCAGCGTATCGGACTGCAAACGGCCACAGAAAGTGGGGGGCAGCCGCATGAACCAAGGAGGTACGAGCGACCTCCATGACCAAGCCAATGCGGCGCTCAGCAACCCCATTCTGCTGTGGAGAGGCCGGAAGCGTGAACGACTGCTCAATGCCCTCCTGCTGACAGAAGGCCTCCAAGAGACCAGAGGAAAACTCTCCACCTCTGTCAGAGTGCAGACGCAGGATAGGGAAGTCGGAGCGGAAACGCTCACTAAGCTGGAGACGAGATCTGCGGATCCAAGGGATCAAGACATCAGGGACGTCACCCTTGGTGCGCAAGGGGAAGACCGTGGTGTAGCGTGAGAAGTCGTCAACAACAATCAGGAAGTACCTCTCCTGACCCTGACCACGGACGCGGGCTGGGCCCCACACGTCCATGTGGAGTGTCTGCAAAGGAGCAGTCGTCGGGGGAAAGGAGGAGGAGTGAGGAGCGGCGCGCTGCCGCCCCTCGACACAGGGAAGACAGGGAGGAGCAGGTGAGTCGGGAAGGGGAGGGAGCACCCTGGGAAGACCAGCAACAAGGTCCCGTTTGTGCATGGCCCGAAGGCGCTGCACAGACGGGTGACCAAGGCGGTGGTGCCAAAGGACAGTCTCATGCGCCAGAGAGCGACACGAGCAGGGGGCGGACAGCTGACCTGACGCAGACGCAGACGTAGACGCAGACGCAGCTACCTGAGGGGACTCAGTGGTCAGTGTGTACAGGTCCGACCCCGGCTCTCGAGTGAAAGTAGCCAGGTGGCGACCCGTCCGAGCACACGTGCAGTGTGTCACGCGCTCGTAGGCAGGGGTGAACTGGTGAACACCCGAGTCCTGGAGCGCACAACCCGCCACCAAGTTCGTAGAGAACGAGGGGAGGTAGAGACCTGACAGCGTGCCGGACGGGACCGCAGGACAAGGAAGGACAGTGGAGGAGGTCGCAATGACCGGACCCCCAGAGGGGTCAGCAAGGGAGACAGCAACTGGCCGAGCGAGTGGCTCAAGGACAGTGCGGTCACGAAAGAAGGAGCGAGAAGCACCTGAGTCCAGGGTGAAGGTGTGCAGTGCTGCAGTTGACTCAGTACCAGGGGGCACAGACGCACTAGCACCTAGGGCAGCAGCCTCACCATCACCTGGGGTAGCAGACACGCGAGCACCTGGAGCAGCAGACGCACTAGCACCTAGAGCAGTAGGCTCACCAGCACCTGGAGTAGCAGACACGCGAGTACCGGGAGTGGTAGCCTCACCTGCACCGAGGGCAACAGACGTACTGGCACCGAGAGCGGCTGCCTCACTCACAGAGCGACTACCACTACGGCCACCCCGACTGCTCAAACCGGCGTACCACTCACGAGCCTGCTGGAGCAGAAGAGGGCACGGCTGCTGCACCTGTCCACTACCTGAGGCTCCCGAACGACGCACGCCAGAGCGACTACCACTACGGCCACCCCGACTGCTCAAACCGGCGTACCACTCACGAGCCTGCTGGACCAGAAGAGGGCACGGCTGCTGCACCTGTCCACTACCTGAGGCTCCCGAACGACGCACGCCAGAGCGACTACCACTACGGCCACCCCGACTGCTCAAACCGGCGTACCACTCACGAGCCTGCTGGACCAGAAGAGGGCACGGCTGCTGCACCTGTCCACTACCAGAGGCTCCCGAACGACGCACTCCAGAGCGACTACCACTACGGCCACCCCGACTGCCCAAGCCGGCGTACCACTCACGAGCCTGCTGGAGCTGCATCTGGCCACGTCAGGAGCAGCAGCAGTAGTGGCAGCAACAGCAGGAGCAGTAAAGGCAGTAGCAGCAGCAGTAACGGTAGCAGTGCTAGCACGGCAAAGCTCACCAGTGGTTGGTGCGGCGGGCGCAAGACAGTGGCGACAGCGTGGCCGCTGCAACAGCGGGGCGGGGCCAGGTCGTAGCAGGGAGCTCCGCGGCAGCTGCTGCAGGGTCGGCGGCGGCCGCTGCTGTAGGCTCGGCGGCGGCAGCTGCTGCAGGTCGAGCGGCGGCTGCTGCTGCAGGGTCGGTGGCGGCTGCAGCTGCAGGCGCGGCGGCGGCAGCTGCTGCAGGTCGAGCGGCGGCTGCTGCTGCAGGCTCGGCTGCTGCAGCTGCTGCAGGTCGAGCGGCGGCTGCTGCTGCAAGCTCGGCGGCGGCAGCTGCTGCAGGTCGAGCGGCGGCTGCTGCTGCAGGCTCGGCGGCGGCAGCTGCTGCAGGTCGAGCGGCGGCTGCTGCTGCAGGCTCGGCTGCTGCAGCTGCTGCAGGTCGAGCGGCGGCTGCTGCTGCAAGCTCGGCGGCGGCAGCTGCTGCAGGTCGAGCGGCGGCTGCTGCTGCAAGCTCGGCGGCGGCAGCTGCTGCAGGTCGAGCGGCGGCTGCTGCTGCAGGCTCGGCGGCGGCAGCTGCTGCAGGTCGAGCGGCGGCTGCTGCTGCAGGCTCGGCGGCGGCAGCTGCTGCAGGTCGGCGGCGGCTGCTGCTGCAGGCTCGGCGGCGGCAGCTGCTGCAGGTCGGCGGCGGCTGCTGCTGCAGGTTCGGTGGCGGCAGCTGCTGCAGACGAAGTCGAAGCCGCGAAGGGGCGGCTGAGGGATCGCGCGCGGGCGGCTAGCGGGTCACGCGCGCGAAGAATCGGCCGCGCGCGGGCGGCTAGCGAGGCGCGCGCGCGAAAAATCGGCCGCGCACGGGCGGCTAGCGAGTCGCGCGCGTTAAAAACGAGCCGCGCGCGGGTGGCTAGCGGGCTGCGTGCGCGCGGTAGGTAGAGGCGCACGAGGGCGCTAAGGCGCACGAGGGCGCGCGGTAGGTAGAGGCGCACGAGGGCGCTAAGGCGCACGAGGGCGCGCGGTAGGTAGGGGCGCACGAGGGCGCGAAGGCGCACGAGGGCGCTCGGTAGTGAGAGGCGCACGAGGGCGCACGAGGGCGCACGATAGGTAGGTAGGTAGGTAGGTAGCGGTGGGCCCTAGGAGCGGTCCTAGCAAAGGACCTGCTCTGATACCATGTCAGAATGAACAGGCAGGAATGAGTGAACTAGCAGCATGCAGGAGTACAAGTAGTAAACCCTAATTTGGGTTGTACCCCATATGGGCTACCCCACTACAGCCTAGACAGTATGCAGCACATATGTTTGACAACACGGACAGCACTATCACGTTAGCCGACAGAAGGCACTCATGTGAGGATTCGCAAGTCAACTGTCGCGACTGTTGACTGATATGATAGTGGCCCGATGGGTCTGCCACGAAAACGGTTTCCCTCCCGGGAAGATGTTCTCGCGTTCTGCATCAGCGCGTCCGTAGATTCCGCTAGTCGTACTGCCTCTAGGAATGATGACGGGCGGCCCCTGAGAACCTCGTACTGTATCTCGTATTTGAGGCAGCTGATGTATTTATCTAACCGCTCTGCTTCCGACATGTCATCCACTTGGTCGGCGAGGCCCATGAACGACGCTGTGTAGTCTTGGACAGATGCCATCTGCGACCAGGTACGCAGCTTCATGCGAGCTTGCTCCGAGGCGGATACGTGCTCGAAGCGATCTCGCAAGGCTGCGCCCCACTCCTTCCACGTGCGTATCTTGGTCACACCGAAGATCGACTCTTTTAAAGTCCAAGGTTCGGTGCCACCACTCAAGCGCTGCACCTCGAAGAAGCGAAACCGCGTAATTAACACATGTGGCATCGTCGTTAACGCCTGCTGCACTGAAGAAGACTTCAACACCGGACAGCCACCCCTTCATTGCAGTCGTCTTGTCCGTAGGATTGAAAGGGGGCGGGGTGACGGTTTTAATCTTGACCGACGTTACTGCAATTGGCGCTGCTGCCGCTCGTTGCCTATCTTCCTCTTCGAAGTCACGTGTGAGCGAATCCAATGGATTGCTCAACGCCTGACTGTTTCCCTCGCCTTCGTCAGCAGGCGACTCCTGACGCGCTTCACCTCGCGTCTGGCGTAGCTCGGCGTTTTCCTCTCATAACGTTGTCACTTCCGCCATTAATGACTTCATGCCCTGCTTCATTTCTGCCACTTGCGCCATCAGCCTGTTAACCGCCTCCTTATCCATGTGCCTAGCGCTACATCTGGAGGGCAATCGGGTACCCGTGGCCTTCAGGCAAATGAAAACACGAACTATCGGAGTCGGATAGGATTGAATTAACAATCCTTGCAGCCAACTGTCGTATAGTCTCAAAACCAGCCACACCCGTGCCACCAAACTACCCTCGGAAAGCGGGGTGAACTAGGAAAGTAGCTCTGATACCAAGTGTAAAGGAGAGTGCGCAGGTAAACGAATAACGAGGCTGTGATTGAATGAACTGAGAATACAATGAAGGCACAGACTAATGTAGGGGCTAGCCTAGCTAGGAGGGAACCTCGGACGAGCGAGGTTGGGTGCAGGTTTGGCAAAGGGAAATGCCGAAGGCGACGCGAGGAGCCTCGGCAGCGTTGAGATCAGCCGAACGTGCAGAGTCCGAAAATCGGGGCTGTACGCGAAGCAGTCAACCCCGATAAGGAATTCGGGAAAATTCCTTACAGCGTGCACCAAAATGCACTTCCAACGGTGAATATTATAGCAACCACGAAAAATGAGCAGCATGAGCGTGTATTCCACTTGCTTCTAGTCTACGAATTTGCCTGCTCAAACACGCAAGAACAAGACAAAACATGCGGTATACAATAGGCACACTAATGAGATCATATTGATTGTTTGAAAAGAGGATATGTTACTATCAGGTAGATTTGTAGAAATTCAAATCTGCAGTAACACGCGGCGCGACTGCTTCCTCCCTGAACTTCGCCGTCTTCGCTCACAGCAATTCCGCGTGAAGCGAATCAAGCTTTCCGTGGAAACAGCTGCCCAGATCGTCGCTGGTTCGCCGCACCTCACTCATCGTCGCCCACGCTCACCCACCCGATCGCCGCGAACCAACCGTCCAACACCGCCTCGGTGACTCCCTCCCAAGATTACGCGCTCACCGTCACAGCAGCACTTCTGGTTCAAGCGTTACCTCGTTAGCGAGTATATAAGCGAGCCCAAGCCGCAATCTGCATCTCACATAACGCCTACTAGATCAGCTCTATTTCACAAGCTTCCTCCCACTCTTCGCAACTGCTTTCATTCGCCCATCACTGCCTTCCTTAGCCGCTCGTGTAAAAAAACGTACCTCCTGGTACCAGCAGCGATCATTACTGCACTCCTTTTGTACTACGGCATTTCATCCCCATGGCGCGTTCTCTTGTAGCTTCCTCACTGATGGCGGCACTGCTTGTAACGGCGCTATTCGCATCATGCGCACAGTCTAGAATCGTCTCCAACGGACTGCTCGGGAATCGCCTCCCGAACCGACCAGCCCAAGTCACCAGCACCATCACTAGTAGCGTGTCTGGCCTAATATCCGCGCTGCAAGCGAAAGTCGTTTCACTAGAAGGAACGCTGACGCAAGCACTCAACAAGCTCGCTACCTCGCTGAACGACAACGCATCCGCGGCCACACTGGCGCTTCAAGCACAGATTTCCGCCTTGCAGAGCAGCATCGACACTCTAAACGCCCGCATTGCGAACCTAGACCTTATCTTGTACCTTAGAATCTCCCGACCCGGCGGCGTTGCTCCGCAGGCGACACCTGTCGCACTCCAGTCGCGCATCTCGTCGCTAAGAAGCAGCATCCCCGCTATCAACAATCGCGCCACTTCCCTCAACACGGACCTGGCGGCCATCCTCCCTAACCTCCGCGCCTTGCTCAGTCAGCGAGTGGCGGCGCTCACTCAGAGGGTGGGTGCGCTGAATGTGGACGTGTCGGCGCTCGCAGCGCAGGTGGACGCGCTGATCGCCCCGCTGAGTGACGCCCTTGGCGTGGCGGACCTCGTGGCTCTGCTGCCACACCCAGCAGGTCAGTCCCGCAAACCCCCATCCCGCAAACCCTAAACCCGCACCCACCAGGTCAGTCTTGCAAACCCTAAACCGCAGCCGGCGGGTCATTCTTGCAAAACCTTCCTCTCTCATTCCAATTCTTGACCGCCCATGCCCATCACGTCACTGCAGGCATGCTTGTGCTCACCATTCTTGCACCCTCCCTGCTCACTCAATCCAATCCTTTTCTACTGCTGCTCATCCCGTCTCTGCAGGCATGCTGCGTGGCGTGCTCACCTCGTGCGAGGGCCTTCTCCCGGTGGGAGCAGCCAACATCCAGATCACCAAGATGTAAGCCACGGCCCCTCACTCTCCTTCCCAACTACTGCCTTCCCTGCACTAGTCACGCATTGTCTCTCTTAATCATCTCACAATTCCTTCCACGTTATCACAATTCCCCATGATCCCCGTCCACACCATTGCCATCCGTTCTGACTCTCATAATGCTTCTGCCTATCAGTAGATAGTACCCTCCAGCGAAGAACACTCGTATAGTGAAACATCCCCTGCTGTGCACCCCGGTCAACCCCTCCTTCCCAACCCCTCGCCCTCCCCCCTCCCCCTGCCCCCTTGCTCACGAGCAGGGGGTCGTCATACGCGGTGGCGTACGAGCTGGTGGCGACGGGCATGGCGGAGGCACCGCAGGCGGCGGCCATCTACAGCGGCAACAGCACGTGCGGGCAGGCAGCCCCACCCGTGGCGCTGCAGCTGCCCGGCACGTGGCAGCTGCTGAGCTCCGTGTCGTGGTCGCTGGCCAATGTGCTCACTGTCGCGCCGGCGGACCTGGCGGACGTGCTCAGCGCCATCCAGGCTGGCATCAATGGCCAGCTCTACATTGGCTTTGCCGCCACCACCAGCAGCTTGTCGGGAAAGCTGCTTGCTGCCAGGCTTTGAAGGACAGGCCAAGGGAAGATGTGTGATCCAAGAGGGAACATCACAAATGCAGATTCTTATGGAGTGGTACATACCGAAGAACAAAGAATAGGTGGGATCAATGAATGCTACTACCGGTACTGTAGCTTAGTTGGTCGGATTCTGTGCATTTGTAATGTTCCTTCTCATGGAGTAGTACATGTTGGTGTACATATCAAATGCAGTTTTATGCAAGCTGACCTATCACAATGCAGATGATGTATTCTGATTAAGAGGGCTACCGTGACCCCCCCGATAGAAGCGCACCTGCTCTTATCGGTATTATAAAGCCCGTTGATGGAAACACCACATGATGGAAAGTGTTCTCTGCTTTCAATACATGTGCGGTTGGTGGTTCTGCTGTTACCTACTGCTGGTTGTTGTTGCTGCTGCTGTGGTGGTGGCTGCTGCTGCTGTTGTGGAGGGCGGGCGTGCCCCTAGGAACTGGACCATGTCCTCTCATGTGATCGCGGCACAACAGTGGCGGGGGGTACTCAATGACAGTAGGGAGTAGTACGCAGACCACACTTTGCCACGTGAAAAATGAATTTTCCCGACCACCTTGGTATCTATCAGCCTTCATATATGCAAAATGCAGTAGAAGCACAGCAAGGCACATGCATGGGAGCACAGCCAAGCAGAGAAATGCACGATACCATCAGAAAGAGAGGAGGAAAGTACCGTATTAACCTGGATATAAGCGCACCTGCGCTTATAATAAAACATGATTTTTCAGGGGGGTGCGCTTATAATTGAGTAAAAAATATAAGCGCATGCGTTTGTAAAATATTAACTATACAATTTTATGTCAGAAACTAGAGACAGGAATGAGATGACTAGATCAGGGTTTGGTACAAATATGAAACCCTAATGGGGTTGTACCCCATATTGGCTACCCCTGTTAGAATCTAGCAGCAGGAATGGTTGAACTAGCAGCATGCAGGAGTACAAGTAGTAAACCCTAATTTGGGTTGTACCCCATATGGGCTACCCCACTACAGCCTAGACAATATGCAGCATATGTTTGACACACCCCCATAGGCAAAGTGGGGGAGAACAAGGGGTCACACGACCAGTCAAGAGAAACAAAGCAAGCTCAGGGTGGATCACAACGTCACCACACACTCTGAGCACAAGCAAAGGGCCACAAGGCCAGTTCACATGCAGAGATATATATATGCAGCAATAACAGTACAGTGATGACTACCTAGCAGAAGCAGGCATGCAGGTATATATATAGATCACCGTACAAGCAAAGACTACAACAAG